TTTTCAGGCCAAAAAGATCATAGAAACGGATATCCTCAGCATTGTCCGGTATCCTGATGGGATCATGAGACACAAAAAGCCATTGCCCCCCGCCTTTACCCCCTGGTCCGGCGATGCTCTGCTCTTGAGATACTTCTTCTTGGGACTTGGCGCTGCCGGCTGCCAGCTTTTTCTTGCCCTCGAGGAAGGCGCTTATTCGACCCGCGCAGCTGCTGGTGGTAACAAGGCCATCAATTTCATTGATTTCATCAATCAACGTGCGAATGCCCTCGTCGATGGTGCCTTTCGGAGACAAGTCATTGTATGCCTCAGCTGGCTGGTTGAGCTGTTGCAGAATCTTCTGCTTCTTTGCTTGGAAAGCGGACGTCATGGCGCCCAGAGGATAACGCAAAGATGCAGCTCGCGGTGGTGTCGTCTCAGGGGGGTCACCTGCTCATAGGATTGGGAAGTGGAATTTGGGACGGGATGGTCAACGCGTATGCGCGCACCGGCGCGCCAAAGTGCGTCATTCGTCGCTTAGGGGAACAATGTACCAGGATCCTCAAAGCTTCCAGCTCGGAGCTCCATCCCGTGCAAACAGCCTCAGAACCCCCCAAACTAAACTTTTGCACGACATGGCGCGGCGATCGCTTCGAAGGCCGGGAACTTCAGTCTCTCGTTGCTCCTCCAAGAGAGCTCTTTCGCCCAAATCCACGCCGACGCGGCAAGCGAAGCGGGCCAAGGCACAAGGCAGCTCCAAAGCGACGCCCGCAAAGAGCAAGTATTTCGAGCATCCGTCCGACAGCGAAGAGAAAGGCCAAGAACAGCCGGATACGTCGTCTGCCGAAGAGCATTCCGACCACGAGGATGAAGACCCCGCTGCTGCCGAATCGCCCTACGAGAGCGACGCATGTCCCTCGGGCGAAGACGAAAAGCCAAAGAAAAGGGGAAGGCCAAAGAAATCAGGCTCTAGTTCCATCAAACCAGCGGCTAGCAAAGGAAAGGAGTTGTGGAGAGCTGGGGCCGAGTTGGATATTGAACCTGGTACTCAGCTGATTATCAAAAAGCCCAAAGCCCGGGAAGCTGGAAAGACGCCGTATACAGACGACACGATCCACCCGAACACTCTGCTTTTCCTACGCGATTTGGCCGAGAATAATGACCGGGAGTGGCTTAAGAGTTAGTATTTACTTGAGCTCCGCTCAGAATGTCTTCTGCTGCACGCCAAGCATCGCCCAGTTTTAACTCTCCGAAAGCTACCGGCCGCAAGAGAGCGTTGGACACGTGTCATGCGTGCTTGAGCGGCTAGGCCATGAATATGCGTATTCTGAGCGCGGATCAAAAAAAGCTAACGTACTGTGATAATCTGCAGTGCATGATCCCGACTACCGAACATCCCTGAAAGATTTCAATTCATTCGTTGAACGACTCACGGAGAAAGTCATTGAGGCAGACGAGACCATCCCTGAGCTACCGATCAAAGACGTCGTGAGTGTGCAGATTTCCGAGACCATTCGAGACCCACTGTTGACATGTGCTGTACAGGTCTTTCGTATCTACAGGGACATCAGGTTTAGCTCTGACCCAACACCGTACAAGGTCGGCTAATCCCGCTCCTTCATATGCAAGATCCACATTTAACCATCACTAGACATATTTCTCCGCAGCCTGGTTTGCCCCCGTGCATTTCAATGGTGTAACATTGAACTGAGTCCGTCACAGGTCTCGGACAGGCCGAAAAGGGCCATATGCTGCGTACTACGTTCAGGTTCAACCTGGTGGCAGTTATGTCGGTAAGGCACCTACTCTTTTGTCATTCCCCAATCACACGACACGGGAGAGCAATAGGCGGACAGAGTGCGGGAAGTCGACAAGGATCATCCGCGACAAGGTTGCAGAGCGCATGGTCAATTCCAAATGAGCCGCAAAACCCGCCGTGGCTCCGAGGCTATACGGCTACTGTTGTGCAACAAGGCTGTTCGAGACTGTTACGCAGACGACCACTGGACCATGCCACCATGTTCAAAATCTACGCGCTGTCAGACATTTCCACGCTACGTCTGAGACCGTATGGGGTCAAGCCAGTGTTGGCGGTGGATTTCCAGTGCCAGGCTGCGTCGACGTCGTGGAACCCATTCCAGACTGGAGATCCAGCAATGAACCGCTCAATCAGAGAAGCATTGCAGGAGAATACCAGAGGTCAGCAGGTGATAAGGACCGGACACTGGGCAGCCGTACAGTACGCAGTGCGACAACTCTGCCGTCATCAACCAGCCGCCTTCCACGGTCACATTTATGCTTCGCTTCGTCGGCATGGGCGAATATAGTAACGCGGTAACATCTGCGGTTGAATCCGATTGGGGCTAGAACTGTTTGTAGCAAAACCTGGGTCATACGCAGGCGTTTCTGCCGAGCGTACGGCCATGGAAGGTTGAGCCTGCACGAGTCCATCCGGAGCTGCGACTGCGTAAGCGCACTCTGGAAACTGCGCACCCTCCCGAACTTGTATCCTCGTTGGGACCCGCGGTCACACGGCAAAGGTTTTCTAGTCGTTTGAATGCGGTTCCAAATCAAGCCGATCTACGCGGAGTACCTGTGGCAGCTGCCACTCCAGTCAATTGTCAGCTTGTCCTCTAATGGCGAAACGGGCTCGATAAAACGATAACGATGTTTTGGTCCTCTTCAGGAGGATTGCTGGAATGATACTCGGCTGGAAATGGTTTTGGGGAAGCAGTCGACAGAACCGACACACTGTCGGTGGAAAACCAGTTTGGTTTCTCGCCCCCCCCCCCCCCCCTAGACCAGCCGGTAAAGTTGATGAACACGAACAATACCTGGCATCAAAGCGTCTTACTGGAGTCCCAGCCCCACCAAGCAGCCTGCACAGCGGCCCGTTGTGCATTGTAGCGGCTGCACGCTTCTTCAAGCCCAAGATCCCACGTTGCTTCCGGACGCCTAGATCCGGTCTACACGTATGTCTTATCAGGACCGATACCAACAAATGACTGACGGCTGCAAAAAGCCGTTGCGACCAAAGATAGGCCCGCATCTGCTTTTTGAGCGGCGAGAGCGGCACCTGGCGTCGCAAGGCGGGCGTGTGGAACCGTTGTTACACCCGCAGCAAACCGCTTCAGAACGCCATAGCCGCCGTCCCGTTGTCCGCAAATCTTGACGGGTGGTTGCTTGGTCGCACGAAGATCGTGTTTCACTGACGGATTGTTGAATTAGGTGGCGGACTCTGGATGCCCGCAGCACCCAGTCTTCAGCGACTGCGACGCAACATCGACACACGGCCGCATGAGATCAAACGAGTCTTGACCGACGCGGGAATCCGGGAAGAGTTCTTTGACGGGATTGAGGATGACGAGAAGGAAGCGGTTCGGGCTTTTGTCAAGCAGAACGCGGAGAGCGCACTCAAGACAAGGTTAGTCTGGATTTCACGTCACCTGCACCTGCACGCCCTCTCGTCTCCCCCATATGCAAGGACAAAGGAAGCACCACGCCGGCTCGCCGGCTCGCCGTCTCGTAGGGCGAAGGGTTTGGGCGGCGGAAGACGCTAAGCGCCAGGCTGCCGCAAGAAAGGAAGGGGCAAACGCGCGTAACCGGCGCACCCCTCGCTCATCTATCTACCACACCAGGGGCCAGACTTGCGGTGAGGACAAGCTGCAAGCAGAGGAAGACTTGGGTACAGCGAGGCGATTGGCCTCGCGGGGGAGATGAGGGCGACTCTAGCCTGGGCGACTAGCACGAAGCCACCAATTTGATACGGCACCAACGGTAGCAGGCTGGGAGCGGACGGGTCGAGAGGCCGGCTGCGGCCATGGGTCGTCATGGATGATGGATGGGCTAACGTGGGCCTCGGCAGGCCGCAGGGCTACGACAAGGAGCACCGCGACGTGGAGCTGCTGCGGCTGCGCAGCTTCAGCATCGGGCGACGGGTGAGCGACGGCGTCGTGGAGGGGCCGGGCGGGCTGGCGCGCATCGCGGGGCTGCTGGCGAGGCTTGGGCCGTTTGTATGTTACCTGTCTCTTTCCTCTGGCGACGGGCTTTGCAGGCTGACGGCGCAGATCACGTACCTCAACGGCGTAGTCATGCCCGACTGAGTTGTCCACTGGGGCCGGGGGAGGGCCGGAGGGGGCGGATTGCGCGCAGCAAGAATCGGGCACGTGACCTGGGTGGCTGGCGGGGGGAGGCCAAAGTTTAAACCGGGATGTGCGATTTGGATGCCCGTGAAGAAAAAAGCTTACTGTGCAGCAGCACCAGGGCCGGGCCGCGCGAGTGGGAATATGGGAAGGAAGGGACCTAGGGTGCGCCTGCCCTCTTGGTAGTTTTTAGCCATCCACTCTTTCCTTTGCATCATCCATGTCATCCACATCCATCCATCCATCCATCCATCCATCCATCCATGTCCATGTCCATCACCACCCACCGTCATGCCCGCATCATGCCCGCTGCCCGCTGCCCGCTGCCCGCTGTGCCCGCTGTGCCCGCTGTGCCCGCCCGCACAAGCACGCAAGCAAGTACAAGTACAATGCCTCCATCTCGTCCCACCTCTCCCACGTGGATGGCGCGAACCTCAGCGCGCACACGGCCCGTCGCGACGCGGCACAGCGACGGGCTGATCTTCTGACCTGGCACAGCCACGGTGCGCCGATCCAGCCGGGCTAGCATAATTTTCTGCTCCACGTCGGGCTTTTTCCACGGGCGAGATGCGGGCCCGGCAGCCCTACTATCGGCACCAAGGCCGCATCCCGCTGGCCACGTAACTGGCGACACCTGACGTGCGGCACTTACGTACGGCCCGGCCCTGGGACAGCGACGTAACGCGCGGGCAGAGTTTTGTGCTTGCCACGCGACACGGCTTCTCCGCTCCCTGCGATGCTTCCTGGCGGTGATCTGACCACGAGCAGCGCGCGCACACGGCATCGCCCGCCGTGCCAGCTGCTAGTGGGAAGCACCCGCCTCTAAAACCCAGAGCCCCGCCGCTGGGTCTCTTCGCCTCCTGAACGCCGGATCTCCCAGCTGCAACACCCTCCACGCCTCCTCCACTCTGCAGCCCCCCTCGGCTAGCGACAAGCTGTCACACGCCCCATGCCCGCGTCCTCATAACCCGCAAATGTACCCTCATCACTCGGCTGCTCCCTCGTCGCACTGGGCATCCCCCTCCACCGAGTACTCCTCTCCCCAGCCCCAACCTGCCGCCCGCCCTTATCCGCCTCCGCCGCCCCAGGTATGCCGATCCGTCCCGCGCGCCCTTGCCCCATACATACTCACCACTCCCCTCCAGCTTCATCCTCCGACTCTCCAAGAGCCTCGTCCCGACATGACTTCTCTACAACAGCAGCAGCCCTACCGCCTGCCTGCGCCCCATCAGATGTACCCGGGCCCTACGCCGCCCGATCCCTATCGCCAGCCTCCTCCGCCACACGCCCTCTACCAACAACATCAGCCTGCCCCGCGCCAGAGGACCGCCATCGCTTGCCGTTATTGCAGGCGACGCAAGGTACTGACTTGAGCAGCCTATTGCTTTCCCCCCCCCTTCCTTTCTTTTTCCTTTTTCCTTTTTAACCATCGCTTTCGCCTTTTATTTTCTTTATTTATTTTTTTTTTTTTTCCTTTGCTCTCGCCGGCTGACCTTGTCTTCTTTTTCCCGTTAGATTCGCTGTTCCGGCTTTGAAGCTTCCGAAGATGGTCGTTGCACCAACTGCGTCCGCTTCTCTCAAGAGTGCATCTTCACCCCCGTCTCCGCCCAAACGCAAGCCTTTGTTCCTGCGCACACGGTATGGCGCGGCGGCGGCGCACCGCCTCCTCTCTACGGCGCCTACGGCCAGCCTCTCCCCGCTACGCAACCTACGGACCCGTACGGCGCGCCGCCTCGCCCTCAGCCAGGCTACCCGCTGCCTAGCCCAACAGGTCCGTATTCTGCCCCGGGCCCCGTCTACCCGCCTCCCCCGGTGGCTCCGGGCTACGATGATCGGAGCCGTGACGTGAGCGGGGCCCGGAAGCGTCCTACGACTGAGCCCCATACGCCCACTCTGCCGCCGCCGAATCCCGCTGTAGCGTCACATCTCCCAGTGTCTCGTGCCTCGGAATACACCTACCCTGATCCCACTGCTCTGACTCAGGCTGCGGCCTCTCCAGCTTCCTCGACTGCCTCTTACCAGTCTGCGCCGCATCCTCAGGCGCAACCTTACTACGCGCCCCAGCCTCCGCGTCGTTCAAGTCCGCAATCCGCTTACTCTTACGACCCCAGCCGTGCGAGCAGCAGCCCTCACACTCAAGGTGCTCCGAGCACTCCTGGCAGTTCATACACTTATAGCAGTGACGCCACATTGAGGCCGCCTTCGAGCATTCCCATTCGCCAGGACGGTAGGACCCCGCCTCCGCCCACGTCCTCGGCTGGCACTCCTGCGGCTGGTGGCTCGAGAGCGGCAATGCGCATTTCCGACATGGTCAGCGGTGGTGACTCTGGGAGGAGCGCTGCGGACGCCGACATGCTGAACGCCTTGAACAGGAGGGGCATGTGAATATTTTTAACGACAAATGGGAGATGAGCGACGAAAAACCAAAACCAATCGGACCCCGATGCAGCAGGAGCTGGCTCTCCGACGCTGCGACGACACAACCAGCAAAATCAAGCATCTGCTACGAAAGAAACTAAGGGTCCAAAAGGCCAAGGAGAAATCGGAGGATTTCCACGTCGAGGAGCCATTAATCCCTCCATTCCTGACTCTTCGGCCACGTTTGTACTGGTCTCGTCACCACAGTGGGCGGTCATGCTTGAAGCGAGCTTTGTTGAGTTTCACTGTTTTTCTTTTTTTTTATCCGCGAGCATGCATTGAAAGTCCCAAACCCACCGGCGGCTCCAGCTTGATGTTTTCCTGCGCTTCACTTTTTCTGCTCGCGACGCCGAGACGGGACCGGACGGGATTCCCCTTATTCATGATCCCGACACCCCAGAGGGTTTGTAAAAGCGAGTTTCATTCTGTCGTTTCCGCGGGCTAAGTCTGCTGTTGTTTGATCCGAATCATTGTTGTAATTAGACGTTTTTGTTCTCAGCTTTTCAGAATAACGCTGAGATCTCTTGAATCTCTTTTTCCTTTTCTTTTTCTTCCCCCCCCCCTCTTTTCTACGTGACGACGGGGGCACGATTTTCGTTTTCTTTTCTCTCTCATGGGAACCGGAGCGATCAAACAAGGAAGATGATTTCATGACATTTTCCGTCTTTCACCAGCAAAGACTTAGATATCCTGGTCAGTCCAAGCCGCCATGGTCCAGGGGAGCTTGGCGTGGGTTTTTCTGGCATTTTTTCCTTTACTTTCTTTCGTCTTTACTGCGTCACATTTTGCAAAGCATCCTGGGCCGATTGTCTGAACAACAAAATCGCAAGCATTACCCCTCGTCTTGGTCGCCTTGGAAGCCGCCAACACCGTATCCCAAAACGGACGTTGACTATGGAAGCAGGGGTGCGGCGGCGCAGGCAGGGAGGCCTGTCGAACATCGTCAGCAGACTAAAAGTAGAGCCATTCACCCACACAGGCGCGCATCCGGACAGCCGTATGTACGGGCGTAAGCAGTCGTGCCGCACCAAAGGAACAATAACCTTTCCCACAGCCCGCTAGCGGTTTCCCAGAGCAGCAGCAAGGCGTCAGATCCGGACTCTGCTCACCTGACAATTGCGCAGCGTTGAGAGCGTGTTGCGCCGCCAGCAGGCACCAGCGCGAGGCATTCGCCGGGCAATCCCACTCCGCGGACTGGGGGCCTCGCCAAGTCGAGTCATGACCAGATGGTGGTAGTTGTAGTAGCTGTTCTCTCTTCAGATGCCCGCCGGCGCACGCACGCGCACGTCGCGGCTGCCTCGGCCCCTGCCGTCCGCTGTCTCCGCTGCAGCAAGGCGATGGGACGGCCCAATCTCCACCGCCCAGCCCGCACGCAACCGCGCACCGAAGTTTCCAATAGACGCGCAGAATTATCGCCGAGCGGTGCTGGATCGACGCGGCGCCATGACTGCGCGACTCGTCCCAGCCGGCCATCAGTGCCCAAAGCGAACAGACACACAGATCGCGTCCGTCAAGAGGCGCGCGCGCGCGCGAGCGCATGACCCATGGGTCGTTCCACGCCTCACTAACCGCTCGCATCGATCGTCGAAAACGGAGTCGCGCGCAGCAAAACGGCGGCGGCGTTGGCGGGCGGCGCGGGCGTCAGCGCGCACAAGCGCCGCCCTTTCGCCTACTCCTGCGCCTGCTGCGCCTGCGCCTGCGCCTGCATCTGCACTGCGCTGCACTGCGCCGCGCCGCGCCGCGCCGCGCCGCGCCGCAAACCGCCTTTAATTCCGATCTGACGTGGCAAGTTGTATCGGCGGCGGGCCGCGCGGACCACGCGGACGCACGTGCTCGACGCTGGATCGTAGAGGGCCCTTGGCGGTGAGCAGGAGCCGCGATGATGTGAGGAGGGGCGGGCGGTGGGTGGCGGAGACGGAAAGAGGGAGAGGACCATGTCGCTTTGGATTGGTGGTGGTGAGAGACTGGGGGGGAGGTCGGGGTCGGGGTCGGGGAGGAGGGGGCGGTGCAGGCTGCAGCACCAGTGGATGGAACGGCGGGACGGTTCTGGGCGATTGGGTGCAGGGACGGGAGGCGGGCCGGATGCGGCAAGCGGTGCGGCACGGTTGCCAATGGGTTGGCGATTGGGGCCGGAAGGCGGCGACGGCGTCGTCAGTCATCGACGTCGAGGGGCGTGGCGGGCTGCTGACCAACCAGTCAACAGACCAAGGAAGAACAAGGTCCAGCCGGGGCCCTGGCGGTGGGAACGAGTTGAGCCGGGGGCGGAGGTCAAAAGGGTGGAGAGAAGGGAGCGAGGCGCGTCATCAGCCGAGAAGGATTTCCCACAGAGGGCCAAGCGGTGTGTGGGACGTGGACTTGGGCCTGACCATTTGCCGTTTGCGGGAAGCGAAAGGCGGGAAGAGGGGAGGGGGGAGGGGGGGAGGGGTGGGCACTGGGGGAGCCAAGAATAGAAGCGGATATCAATAGCCAGGTCCCCAGGCAGGCAGCGAGAGATCAAAGGCAGGCAGGCAGGCAGGCAGCAAAGCAAAGCAAAGTAAAGCAAAGCAAAGCAAAGCAAGGCAAGGCAAGGCAAGGCAAGGCAAGCAGCATCCGGGGACGTCGGATAGATGCACACAATATGCGATGAGTCGATAAGATTGATTAGTGATAGCTTACCTACGGCTGGCCCCGACGCTCGCTCGCTCGCAGATGACGGTCCGGCCCGGCAGGCGCAGCCCAACCCCCCAACAAGACGACGGACGGACAACGACAACCGATGCCTGCCTGTCTGGGTGCCTGCCTGGGTGCCTTCCGTTCCTCCCAATTCCTTCCTTCCTTCCTTCCTTCCTTCTTTCCTCTTCCATCCTCCCGTCTCTCTCATTTTCCTTTTTCCTTTTACCTATCCTCCTCCTCTTCCACCTCTCCCTCACAAAACACACCTAAGCACCATTATCATCATCATCATCATCATCATCATCATCACAGCCACCACCACCACCACCACCACCACCACCACCA